CCCTGTGCTGGTGAAGAACTTGTTCACTGTATTACTATATATATATATCACCGATCGCCGATCACTGTTTCATCCTGACTGGAGCTTGTTCTTTGGCTGATCTAGTCACCCGTCAGCTGCCAGCAGCTCTTGGAGTTGCGCCGTCGGATGGCAGGAACCTGCCATCAGCATGCCCAATTGGGCTCGACGAACCGAAAAGGCCCCGCGTGAACCCAACGGCGGCCCTGTGCGTGCAGGACATGGGCTTTGAGGAAGCTGCTGCCACTACAGCCTTGGAAGCGTGCAATGGACACTCGGATGCTCCATGAAGATTCACATGGACACTCGGGGGTCCAGAACCTGTAATAGGATGATCCCGGTGAACCGCCGGTGAACCGGCACCTTGTTGAAGACTTGGCCACAGCGGACACAGCTGTGAAAGTCGCAAGAGTTTCCGCAGGTTTTCAATGTTCAGGTTTTCAATGCCAACAGGGATAAGATTGACAAGCCGCAGGTTTTTCATAACCTTTATGGCTCCGTGTTTGCTCTCCCATCATGGCGTGACAAGAGAGAGAGGGCATTCACCATCCCCTGGCCCATAGCCTGAAAGCAAACTCACTTGCCAGATGCTTACAAGAAGCTGAAAGCATTACTGTATGTAACACAACTGTCCAAAAACCTCACTTCACACCATCATACCTGACTATATAATACCACAATAGTTACTATAAACCAGAACCCTGAAAAGATTGAGCTTCGCCTGAAAAATTGCAACCAGAAAAAAAGGTACGTTTTGGGTGGGGTCTATATAGACCCCTTCCAAGTCCGAAGACCAATTCAATTGAGAAATAGATCCAAGGTAATCTGGACGAGGCCATGCAATTTCTGCTCTCGCAGGGTGCCTCAAGGACATGGGGCGGTTAGTTGGCTTGGTGCCTAGGGGTTGGTGTACGAAAGTAAGCGCTTTCCAGACTCAAATCCGCCGATGTGTGGCGGCATATAATGCCAAGGTAACCCATAACGTATGCGGAGGGTGCACTTCAAATGCAGCCTCCTAACATGAAAATTAAGGGGGCAACTTCATAGAGACAAGGACATTCAAAAGAATTCCAGAAGAGTGAAGGGCCTAACGATAGTTCTTGGTTTGCCGGCCACTGACCTCTAGCTGGACTACTTTTGGTAAACACTGAAGGGTCTGGAGAGGGTCAATGGCGGTCGATGTAGCAGAGCAGCTGAATCTACCCTAGGTACTGCGCGGGACTGGCATATTTACCTACCTTGGGGTACATTTTTGGGTTCAATGTAGTCCGCAAGATTGTCTATGTGGAGATCTCCAATCATCTCCACATCAGGTGTGGGCCAAATGTCCTGGGGGTGTCCAGTTTCTTTATTGTAGATTTCTTGATTTCAAGGAATAACCAGGCCAAAAGTGACAACATAGTTTTATGGCCATGCCATGGTCATTGTCCGAACGCTCATTTTTATTTCAGATGTTCTCCTAATTTTGTGACAGGAACGTCCAGAGTCTGCCAGAGAGCCTCCGAATTCCACTGTTGGACCCTTGACTCTTGGCCAGGTCACAGCCGGATGCCGCCGCGGAGGCCGATCCGGGAAGCCCCAAGGCGCCAGCGAGCAAGCCCAGGAAGAAGCAGAAGGAGAAATTGGATGAGAGTCTCGGAGTGGAGGAATGGCGAGACGCCTGGTACGGAGCGGCGCTCCATAGAGTCATTCAGTATGATCATGGAATGAGTCCTTGGGTTTCTCAAATGAGATCAAGTGGTGATCGCCGAAATGATCCAACGGGCCTGGCCTCGGATGGGTGGTGGGGAACATCCACGGGAATTCCAACTTGTGTTTACAAAGGGCATCGCTACGAACGGAGCAAGGAGTAGTAGCTCCTGGCATTGCTACGAACGTAGCACAGGACGCTACGAAGAATGTGGCACGCCTCCAGTTGGAGGAGACATTCCCGGATGGCATTGGAAGTGGCGGCAGTTTGGGGGAGTTGACTATTACTGTATAGACAAATATATATGAAGAAACTATACTTACAGTACATATATTTTGATGTCAACATACTTAGTTGTCGGGCCTTCTTTGGTGGTGACTGGAGGTCATTCCAGTGAAAGGTGACACCAATCCAGATGGAAAAGAATGGCGACTTCGTCCGACATCCAGTTTGCCCCCCTCCCCAAAGTGATTTCCTCCTGTCGCCTCCCTGCACGGATGATCAACCAGCATACCACTTGCATAACATACTTCTTTTCCATTCAGAGAGCAATTTTCAGAGAACAATCATATACTGTACATTCCGTTTGTTGAGATATATAATCACACCCTCTCGGAGGCTGCATGGACTGGATCAAAACCCCAAAAAAAACTTTCACCGAGGAAGGTGGCTACCCTGGTGGGCATGGGCTTCACCGAGCAGCAGGCGAAAGACGCCCTGGACGGCTGCAGTGGCAACCTGCAGCGGGCGGTGCTTCGGCATGGAGAGCCCGTGAAACGAAGGCCTCCGAAAAAACATGAAGCACTGCCTGGTGATTGGGAATGTTCATGGGTGTTCCAAAAGGATTTGTTTGTCCAGCCCGGCTTGGGAACCCATTGACTCATCCATTTCAGGGTTGACTGTCAGTAATTCTCAATGAGATCAATGAGTGTGAGGATGTGTGAGGACAGTCAAAAGAAGCAAGACCCTTTGGCCCTGATTCGTAGGGGTGCAGTGACATCACAGTTTTCAGGCTGCTGGTGCTCATGTAGCCTTATTGTACACTCCAGTTACCATCTTAGACGCTAAGGGAGGTGAAAAAAACACGGGGTTGCAAGTGGTTCATCAAGCGTGAAACCGACTTAATTCCTTCCATCCAGCGACTCATGAGATGATCGAACATTCTTGCTCTTGGAAATTCAAAGTCTTATTCCACTTTTTTTTTGGTTTGCCGGTTTGCCAAGGTGGAATACCTGACGGGCGGTGGCTGAAGCAAGAGGTGGCGGATGATTTCGAGGTCACTCTGGACTCTACATATTTAGGAGATCTCCCACTGAACAAATCGTGTTTGGTCAGGCTATGCCGGGCTACCTGAGGTGAACCTATTACAGTACTTATACCGATACCGATACCCAATTCCTGTGGCCACTGTCGCTCAAGCCTTTGCCAGGTTTTCACATGTGTTCATCCACTTTCGGAATCTATTCTTTTGTTTGAACAGACGGACCCCTCTTCAGGAGCTTGGCAGCAATTTGACGTAAACAGCGCAGCGTTACCTGATTTGTGAGATGTTCCAAGGATCCAACTACCGCCATACTCCAGCGGTACCGGTTTGGAGAGTCTAGTCAGGGCTTCCACTGAGTAGCGCCAGTAAGCACATCTCCGACCGCGAAATCCTCCAACCTTTGGGCCACGCTTTGAAAAAGACGTTTCACGCCCGGTGGGCGCCGCCGTCGGAGCCCTTTCTGCTGCTTGGCTGTTGCAAAGGCATTGAAGCTGAGCAGCGAGGTGCGGGCCTCACGTCCGTTCACGTCCTTTCCACCCAAGGATGTTCCGACTGATCCGGGAGCAGACTCCGTGCGGATCCGCTTCATGTGGCCTCCGTACACAAGTGAGCAAGCCTCGATGAAGTGCTGGACACTGCCACGATAGGTTGCGTGTTTCCCAGCGCTTGATGGCAAATGAATGCAAAGGATGGAAACCTGTTTTTCCCAAGTGGCTAACCTCCTGCTGCAGCCACACAGGCCAGCGGGGTAGTGGCAATTTAGCATGACAACATTTAGGCAGCTGAACTGCAAATTCGACGGCTTTGGAGATTCGAGGGGTGGGTGGTGTAGACCTGCAATAGGTTCCATTTGCCCATGTCTACTCAGGGGGCACCGGTAGCGCAACACATCGGCATATCAAACAAGAGCTTATCCAACTTTGAATACATCAGTCGTAGTTAATATAATAATTTAATATATATATATATATATACGAGCCTGCGTGATAATGTTGTTCATCAACTCCCTGGACATTGGACCTTGCTTTGTGGAATGCATTTGGTGCTAAAACGTAGCAACATCCAGCAACCAAGAACAATCTAGCATCCGGTGCTGATACGCAAAGGGATGAAAAGGGCCATAATTTCAGCGTTTTGAGCAACAAGGGTGATAGTTTGCCACTGTGGTTCTAGGAGCATACCTGAATGGTTTCGTTGCCAACCCCGGTATACCACTTGTCACAGACGCCACACCCAGATGGGCAGGCTCGATGGGAGTGGTTGAAAAGCAGACGGGGTGCTTTTACTGATGTAAAACTTTCCCTTGCAACGTGCATACAATGGTTTGATACAGTTTGCGTATAGTTTGTGTATAGTTTTGACCACAATTGAACTGGTTGAACTGGACGTGTGCCCAGTCAATCGGCGCAGCTGCTCCCAGCTGGAACCGCAGCCGAGCAGAGCAAAGTAAAAGGCAGTCGGCGTGTGCTTTTTGGGGGGGCAAAGACCTAGAGATGTTTTTAGATTTCACGTGGTAAGCCGAGAAATGAGATGAAATGAAATTCCTCTAAGACGCAGAGAGTGTTTGTGTGTGGTCTGTGGGGTGCCCCCATTTTCCTGAGGGATTCTTGGCAGTCCTCTTCGGACTGTGCATGAGACAGAGACTCCAGGTGTGCTACCGTGATCACTTGGTTTGCTATCAGAGGTGGTGAAGCATATTAACTCTAAGCATAATCCTAACTAAAAATGTGTTGGAAACGGTTTTTTTCTATCTAAATATTTGGGGGACGACTATAACTATTTCTTTTGTTTGTAAATGGCCCTTGTGATGCTTCTCTAGGTTGGAAGCTCTCATGTTCAGTACCCTTCAGTGACTGCTATTGCAATCCAACGTGTTCTTGCCCTGATAGATGTTGAATGACTTCAGGATCTCAACAGAACAGAACCAAATGTATAGGATACTGTAGCACTGACCTTTGTATGTGGGGAAGAGAGGCGAGTTTGGATATGAGATATCGACACAGTTTGATTGGACGAAGCACGCCTGAGGTGGGCTTGCAAGGCGTCTCGCGCAACCAAGTTCTAGTGATGGAGGTGCAAACGGTTTGTGTGCTTGCGACCATAATGACCAGCAGGTTGCGGCCGAATAGAGCTGGTCAGAATTGGACTGCTCCTTCCACCCTACACACCCTGTTCGACTTGTCTTGCAGATAGGGCAGGTGAGTGTTTTGAACATTAATTCAATCGTGAATACGTACAGGCCAAAGGCAAGAACACAGTCTGACTCTCGTGTTTGATGGTTTCTTGGCTTTGGGCCATTTTTGGACTTCTCATACCACCCACCCGGCGAAGATGGAGCCCAGAAGATTGACCGCGTGTTGTTGCCATGTGGGACGACATCCGACCAACATCATCTGAAAGTGGACAAACATGTGTATATCACGAAAGGTAGCTTGAGCTACCTGAGTTCTCCTTGCTTCAGCAAACATGTATTACAATCAGGAGTTGGGATTGTGCATTGAATTTGGTCCTGTAAGAGTTGATTCTGTTCGTCCGGCCCCCCCCCCTGGATCAAATCCATCCTGCGGGGGTTCACGCCGTCATGGACTTTTACCAGGGTTGCTTGTGATTGCCTGCTACCTTTCGTTCACCCCCTCCTCTCTCAAGTTAAAGGACAAGTCGTCTTCCAAGGGACCCTTCTTTCCATCTCCATGTGAACTTCCATGTGACTGAGGAGGGTAGAGATGGGTACAGTTGGGGTAGTACCAGTTTTTAGACTCGGGGCTCCAAGGATTGGTTGCTGGAGCCTTTTCTCATCGCACTGCACTGAAATGCACACCGAATTTACACGTCTTGGACAGTTGGGGGTTCCCCACCGTGAAAGATATAGGCTTAAAATGATTTAAAACCCTCCTGCCGCTCCTGCTCCTGCTACACAAACATGTGTTTTTCGAGAAGCTCGTTCTTAAGCATTGCGTTTTTTGCCAGTGCTTGCAGAAGAACAAGGGCAAGAGCTTGATGAACTGCGGCTTGAGCCTCGCCTCTCGGCACGTGATTTGGTCCGAGACGCTTCCCGCGTCTCGACGGTGGCGGAAGGGGCCGTGGCGTCGTTCGACGGCGTGGTGCACCACGGTGTGGCGGCTTGAAACGACGCGGTGCGTGGCCGAAACGACGTACGCGCCGCGATCTCCCCGCGCTGGGCGGAGCGCCAGGACCGGCTTTTGCTCCTGATCCATGACTTCGACAGCACGGAGTGGGCCGAAGAACGGAGTGGACTTTGGGAACGGGATGAAGCAGGAACAGCTCAGTCACAGGTCTCCTTTCCGAAAAATTCCCGGAGGAACTGTCCAGCTCCAACTGGTTATATCACTTGTGCGGATGGACGGTGCATATCATGTGCATAGAGCATCATAGAACATCAAACGGTTGAACATCCACACAGCTGCTTGCGACCAGGTGATGTTGCGCCGGCCCTCCCCCGACAGCACCAAGCTCAGCCGAACTGAGTCGATTCGGTCGGTCGAGATCAAGTCGAATGGGTCAGCCTCCGTGTCCTTTGTTGCTTTTCCGATATGGAGACCTGAAGGGGAGGCGAGAACTGGCACTGGGTGTTCTTTCTTTTGGGAGGGCCACAAAATTCATTGGTTGCTAGGCAGGGTTCCTGTATGGACCTGTTGGAAAGAACCTGAAAACCATCCAGGCATGGTTATCAATGGTCAGTGAAGACTTTGTTCATTTTGTCCGACATACTTCAGAATGTCGCAACATGTGGGGGCAGCTGACCTTGACAGCAGCTACCAGCAGACCACCTTGACCCTTTTGGTGTGTTGTTTGTTGGAAGGAACGTCGTGCAGGCCTTTGATTTGGGGACGCGGAAGTATACACTGAGAGCGGGCTATAGCGCCCCAAGAGCTACCATGGAACCTCATGTCACAATGTTTTAGTAGGTTTAATTTTTGTTTGGGGGGGTGTCCTATTACCTATAACAGTCTGTAAACAAGGTAGCGGCGTCATTAATGACCCCGCTGATGTTTAACATTTGGAATGATGAAAACTCCACGTTTCGATGGTTTTCGATGGTTTGCGAAGCATGTTTCGACTGTTGTTTGCTGGCGAACGAACAAATTTGTCCGAATTCCAGGGGGATTTAATGTCGCTTCGAAAGAAAAGCGATATTAATCACTGCACACCCAGAACTGCTGAGAACATTTAGTACTTTATAAGATTTTAACTTCGATCGGTATATCGGATCTGCGGATATATCATATAGTATGATGGGGTCTCGAAGTATGACACATCATAATACTTCAAAGTATATTACAGTATATAGGCTTCTGCGTGAGTGACTGCATGATGTCTTCATTCAAAGTGACTGCACTCAAAGCGTTTCAATGTCTTCATTCAACCTGACTGAACTCAAAGCGTTTCAATGTCTTCTTTCACACATAATCAATGACCATGAAAGCCGGAAGGAAGCTCAAGATGTTTTCACACTTCGCGACATAGGTCTCCGAGACATTTCCACAGGTTTTTCCCTGCATTGACTCTCCATTGGTAAGAGAGCACATAGTCTCGAATCCTGGCACTGCAGCGGCGATCGTCAGCATGACGGTTACCCAAGCTTTTGGGCACGTGCTGCTTCAGATGCCTCCAGTGTTGGTCCAGAACTTGCGTTCCTGCCAACTTCGCATGACCTGCCCTTTTAGCAGTGAACTGCATATGGACATGAGCGACATCTGTAAACTTTCGTTTCCGGGTCTTGGCTTCGGATTTCCATGCCTTATTCCCATCACCATGCAAGGTCACGTATGGCGAAAGGGACTCAAAAAAGCCAGTGCTCCGGACATCCACGAGGCTCTCTGTCGGAGGACGTCCACCTGGGAACAAAACTGCGTTGAATGTTTGATTGAAACGGACAAGCATGAAAACGGTCGGAGAAGCAAAACTCTGAATGGGTGTTTCCCCTCTTTGGCCACTTCCCCATCGGTGTTGCGGTGCTTCCCGGGGGGGGATGTCACATGTTGTGGACGAACGTCGACACCCCACCCCACCCCACCCCACCCCACCCCACCCCACCCCACCAACACATGCTATGACGTGCATGACGGACACGAATGTCAAAAAACCCTGTAAATACTAAATACCACACAAAACTACAATACCGCGCGAAATTGCGTGCAGTGTTCCAACCCTACAAATACAACACAAAATGACAAAGTGCCGCAAATACAACGCGAAAGCGCGTGCAGTGTTAAAACCCTATACAAAAATACAAAGTGCCGTGTGCACCGCGCAAAATCGCGTGCACCACACAAAACCAGAAAGTGCCGCAAATACCGCGCGAAATCGCGTGCATGTAAAAAAAACACAGTAAATACCACAAAAATCCACAAAGTCCCTCAAATACCGCGCGAAATCGCGTTCGAACCTTAAAAAACAGCGGGGTCGTTAATGACGCCGCCAGCGTAAACAATTATCACTATTTTAGAGGAAGGCCTTTACTAACCATCATCACCCACCGTTACTGTATATACATGGAATAGGATACACCCAAGGTTTGGCATGCAGCAAGCAGTGTTAGCCCACGGTACCTATTCAGGTTTTCTGGGGGCTAAGGTGATGTTGACAGAAGAAAAAGACACCTTCAGACCACAGAGCCCTTCAGAGAGTGAGGTCGACCACAACGCCATTGAAGGGATGCCAATGGTGGTGAACTGGGTGGTTTCGGACATGTGTATGTATTCAAGGGCGTGTCCCATGAGTTAAGGCCCATCACTCCCAGTGGTGGTCTGTGGGAGGCATCGGAGCAAGGCCCACAACGTGGTCATCATCATCCACTCTTACTGGTCATGGGACAAAGCCAATATTTATTAGCAATCATATGATATGGGATATACCTTGGGTTTGTCCTACCTGTAACAGACAGTTAACTGTTCCTAACCATCATCACCATCCTTTATTACTAGAAATTGGATAGACTGATAGACCCAATATGTTTCTTCCGTCAACGGTCCGGTGGGTTTGCTGTTTTCTTCCCCATGGTCCTGACGTTTAAGGCTGGCGACCTGAGGATGCTGAGCGCCGCGCTCAGTGGGCATGGGCAGTTGGATTCCGGTGTTTTATTTTAAACGGATTCAGATGTTGAAGGCGGAGGGAAAGGGCTGTATTTGAGGGGTGGAAGTAGAACGCTGGTGTCCGAATGCACAAGAGGCTCAGGCTTCCATTTCTACATGAACTTTCCAGGTGTGACACACTTAAGACTCCAAATGTGGCTCATGACCATCACCCGGCTCAGGGGGACAGGTTTGCGAGTTTGCGCGTGTGGTGCATGGCCTTTGTTTCCTCACTTCCAATGGCAACAGCTTTATCAACTGGGCTCAGCTGTTGCGAGTCCCCAGCCTCCTGGATGGTTGTATTGATATGTTTTGATCAGTGGACGATTCGTCCAGCCATTGTTTGGTGGACAGAGGTTGGTTTTCTATGCCAGCTGCCTTGTTTGGAGCCCAGCTGTCTCAGCTGTCAGGTGTGAGTTTCCAACAAAAGTATGTACAACTTTGAAAGATTCGCTACAACATCCATTGATTGTGTTTTGCTCAGCTGTGTTCCAATGTCTAATCAATGCATATTATATAATGCAATTGATCGTTCATTATTAACCTTTCCCCCATAGTCCATAGTCTATGTTCTGTCCATTTCTGTCCACCACTTGGGCGCTTTTGAAGAGACATTCATTCGGCCGAATGAAGTTGCATGGCGTGCAATGCAAGGGGTTGGGGAGTCCCTTGAGCTCAAGGAAGCCAACCTGTAAAAAAAACAACTACATAGCAATGGTTCTGAAGCCGAACCCACTAAGAACAAAACTATGAAATTGAAGGAGAAAGGTACTCCTATAGTGTATACTCCTTCCTTCATGTGGGCTTTTCCTTATGAACCAAGCACACTGGTTAGGGAATCCACAGAGTGCGAATTGTCTTGGGCCTGGTGGACCCGTAAAGAATTCAGATTCATGGGCAGCTTGAAGGGACAGATGTTTGTCTAGGGGAGACCATGATTCTCAGGTCATTGTTTCTATCCATGAACACACAGCCGCAACCAAGAGAGTTCTTGCTCCATGAATCAAAATAGACATCACCATGTAGCTTTTTTGTAGCGGAAAAAGGAAGAGTCCATGAAGTCCATGAGTGCCGGAAGGCGCTTTTCTTTCAACCAACGCTTCCAGGATTTGCTCGTCGGACTGGCGATTGGTCGGAGCAACATCGTCAATAAGCCCTTCGTGGCGGGGGGGGCTCAGCGGAAACGTGCTTTTCGGAGCGCTTTCTTTCCACAGGGTGGTCAGCAAAATGGAACACAAAGAACAACAAGAGGAGGCAGTTCACACATGAGCAACTTTCAAAATCTATCATCCCACCGACATCATCCAATGACATCCAATGACGACGTCTTGGCCACTGCTCATATTACTTCACAGCACTGACCATGCAAAATCACCAACTGTTGAATCGTTCGGAATCCAGATGACCTGCGGGCTTTCCGTCGGACCTTGTCTTGCGCTCATTTCCATGCGAAACGACATATTTGCCGGTTTCAAAACGACCGGATTTGAAGTCAAGGAATTCAACGTGCATGTTTTGTTGAATTGTTTCATCAAGCGCATGTGACCCAAAAATAGATTGAGTGCCCTCCAAAGATGCACATCGTGAGTTGCGAATCTACTTTGAGCACGTTTAGTCCACCCAACAGCGTGGCGTAGTTTCCCCTTGTGTCGAGGCTGACATTTTCTCGAAGATACACTGCTTGGCCTTGCTGAGCAAGGTTGGCTGTAAGATTTGCAAGGGCAGGGCTGAGACTGCGGCATGTTTCAGACAGTCGCTCGTGAAGCATTTGGTTGGGTACAATCAGTTGTGTTGGTGTTGATATGTTTTGATTATCGTTTGATGGTTTGGTGTTTGGTCACTTGATCCTGCCTGCTAGGCTGGATTTGGTTTGTTTATGTCTAGTTCACATTTGCGCTGGTGATTCTCCATCACATCCCATGCACGAGTCGTTTGCGGGGGCGGCCCCCTTGGAAGGATAGTCGGCCCCAAAATAACTCATCGGTGCCCGGAGCTTCGTCCAATTGTCCAAGAAGACGACCTCTCTTCGACTCCTCAACCCCGTAAAGTCCTTAACAGTCTTTTTGCTTTTAAAAAGGATTTCTTACTTAATGCCACTAAGAAAGTACTCACCTGAAGCGCAGAGAAAGGACGCCAACTCCAGCCATGCAGAGCTGGTTTTTCTGCCAACTCCTGCCACCCGGTCCGCCGCCAGGTGCCCTTTGCGGAGGATCAGAGTTCCCCAGCGGGCGTGGAGGGGACGCCTGGTGGGCGAAGCCGGGGTGATGAGCGGTTCCAAAAGGGGGTGATCCTACGGCGCCTTAAGAGGACCGCAACATGTTGAAGTTTAAATGATGGAATTGAAATGTCATGCAGAAACTTATAGACCATTATAGACCTTTTTGAATGTCATGCGGATTTGGATCGATTTGGTCCAGAGAGGAATTTCTGCTACAGACCGACCTGGTTCAGATGCACCTTTTTGGCAGCTTACCACCTCCATGCTAAGTTCTCCACGGAAGTACGTTCTCCACCGCGATCTCCTTGGGTCGTTGCGCAACGCCCCAGGTGACGCGGCACCTGCGCACCCGCTGGCTGCAGCTGCTGCAGCTTTCGCTCGGGGAACCCTGCTGCAGCTGCGACGAAGGGCGGTTTCCCGTGGAGGAAAGTGATTTCAAGACTCAAAGACCTGACAGATGGACCGGAAGTTGGGGCCATTCCACCTTTATCAAACAAACACAAGGGTGGCGGTCCTCAAAATGGGGGCGGCCCAGGAGAGCTTGAAAAGCGAAAGGTCTATGTTTCTGTAATTCCCTCATACGTATGAAGAATGAAAACATCCAGATCCAGGTCTTCCTTTTCCCTTTGCAAAACCCTTCAAGCAAAATTATTCGATAGTCTTCGCTTGTCAAGTTTCCATCAGACTAAGAGTCAGAGCTATAAAGATCGAAAGGTGATGTCGCTGTGGCATGCGGTTGACGAGGCCTTGGAGGAAAGTCCGGTTGATTCTACTGCATGGTTACCAAAGGACCAAATATTCAAATTCCTCCCATGGGTGCAGTTTGGTGGTAGGAAGATGTACAAAATATAGGGTGCAATTTCAACACACAGGGAATAGCTGCCAGAACTTCTCCAGGCCCCTATCCTGCGAGTACCAGCACACCTTCTTGATCCTTTTTTGTTTGCTGGCCGTAATTTACCTAATGTGACATGGTCACAAGG